ACAAGCAGGAAAGAAAGAGCAGGAGCGGAAGGAGGAAGAGGACCAGGGGGCAGGGGGGGGCGGGGGTGAAAACGCCAAAAACAGCAAAAAGCAGGGGGGTCGAAGGAGGCAAACGCCAAAAAGTAGGCAAAATCAAGGGAAGCCGGGCGAGGTGGTGGAAAATGGAGGCAAAAAACGGGTGGGTCCAACGGTTTGGGAGGATTAGGTGGAGGGTACTTGAGGTAACCCCCAAAACGCCTGGGCCTCTGTACGCACAGTGTATGCATGTTTATATATGTGTTTATGTATATAAGTGGGGTATGATGCAAGCGGCCGGTCTTGGTTTTGCCCGTTCCACCGCTCCGGTCCTGAGAAGAGCGCGGGACGAGGCAGTGCTCGCTTAAGCTCGCATAAGCTTCGGGGTTCGAGTCGCTTCGAGGTTTGCAGAAAGTTTTCATTCGCAGCTCGCAGCTGCGGCGCTCGGTTCTCGGAAGGAGGAAGTGCGCAGGACTTGGGCATCGCTTGGGTGCGTCACTCAGAAACCTGACTTCTTTTCGAAGGCCTCCTTTCTTGCGCGCGAGTGCTTGAGACTGCTGCTAGGCATTGGCGTGTGTCTTGTAGGCAATGCAGCCGAATGTTGCTCAGCCGCTTCGCCAGGCGCAGCGTGGCCAGCCTGAACTACCAGCACTGCCCGCCCGCGCGGCCCTGTTTTGCAGGAGGAAGGTTGCTTGACTAGAGCTACAGCTAGGGACGACTTGCAGCTTTTGTTGCCAGGCTTCTTCCTACGGTCGGCAGGCAGGAAGCGCGCTGCACCTGAGCTCCTGGAGACTTTCGGTATTTCGGCCCAGAGGCTTGCTTCACCAGGCGTCAGTGCTTGGCGGTCGTTGGGTTCTGGCTTGGGACTCTTCATTGTACGGGAGCTGTGCCAGTTGAATTCAGGAGTGATCCTTGCCATCGTTACCGAGACGTGCAGCATGCGGCCCAGACACCTTCCCAATCTCGCCGATCCTGCGATGCTCGCTCTCGGTTTCAGTGTTTCTGATCAGTGCTGGTGAAGCTTGTGATCGTCGACTGGGCACGGGGCCCCTCTTAACAGCTTCAGTTCCGTGATGCGCTCCGTTGCAATGATCCGTGGACTTGTTGACATTCGAGCAAGTGAGAGTGAGAGTGTATGTGTGCAGAGTGAGCCTGGGCGGTTGAGCACTCATCTGAGCGTTCCGCAAGGTGAAGCCTCGCACATTCACATTCTCTTTGACAAGGTTCGCGCATGACATGTTCCTCGAGTCCCAAAGCCGCATGCTCAGAATTGGCCCCTTTTGTGCCACGGTGGTTTGGTGTTGGGATTCATGGCGCGGGTTTGGCCCCAAGTCTGCTGCGGGGGCAAAGCTTGGTTGAACTGGCATCCCTTCTTTGATTCTTCAGGGCTGTAGGCTTCGCCATCAGTCCTTCAAGGTTTCAGGCTCGCAGGGCTGAAGGTTTGCTTACGGGATACGGGAGTGTTTTTTCAGTTTAGGCTGACCCGCAGAAGCGTCACCGCTTGCTCCTCGAGTTGTGCTTCCTGTCCTTTCATTTTGACCAATCCAGGTTCCATCTGGGCAACTCTCCGTTGATACTCACCCTCCAAACCTGAATCCGTGCGTAATCTACAGTGTCACCCACTTTTGTGCCCGGGTGTGTGTAGATACAATGTGGGATTTCTGGAGTTTTTTCAGTGATCAAGTTTGCGCACATAGCCCCCTTGCAAGTATCCAGAATTTGGTTCCTTTATCTTTGTGTGTTGTGTCTGTAAGTCACAGGGTGTAGGGTAGGGGTTTGCAGACCCTGAGCCCCTCGTTTCCCGGGCAGGCACTGGCGCTACGACAACCGCGCCTTCTGGGCAGTACAGGCTTTCGGGCTTACTGGTGAGGCTTGTGCATGCCTGTTACCCAACATGTCATCCAAACGTCCCGCACCAAACCCAAAGCCAGAACCCAAGGCCAAAAAATTCTTGAACCGTGAACCCAGAAGCCTGAACCCATTGCCCGAACCCCCAGCCGCCAATATGCTAGGCCCCGAAACCGAAAGACCCAAAGCCCCACAGGCCTCTGAGCCCTGACACCCCAGAAGCCCCGACATCTAACCCTTTCAAGCCTGAAACTTGGAAGGGCCCGCTTCGGATTTAGGACCAAGCCCAAAGACACGAAAGGCCGCGAGTGCCCAACAGCTCTCAACCTAAACACCGGATCCCTAAAAGCCATCAGAAACCCAAAAAACTGTAAACTTAAAACTAAAACCCTCTAGCCCCCCGGTCGGAGCCAGAGCTTGCGCAAAGGGTGCTACAAGGGGTTCTTGGGAATGCAGGGTTCGAGTGTTCACGGTTTAGAGGCTCTGTGCTTCAGAGTTTGCATGCTTGGTCCTGTAGGGGCCTCTTCTAATTTGGGTGTGGTTTGTGGGGCACATCATCGCATAAGTATGTGCTGCAGCGGCTACATCCTACAGCTTGGCAGATGTCAGCAGCAATGCCTTCAAGACACCCTGACCAAAAGCAGAGTGTTGCTTTCAAGACTCGTTTCCCTAATGCACCTAAGCTCTGTGATTGGCCTTGAAATCTTCAGGCCCAAGCCCTAAACTTCCCCATAAACTCGGTTTCCCTCTCGCCGTCTGAGGGTTTAGTGCGCCAGCAGCACAGCGTATCCGATGAAGTCCCCGAAACCCTATATGAGACACCCCATGACAAGGACAGAGGCTAGAGTTACTGGAAACAAGAACGAGAACCCCTCTGCCATGGCGGACGTTCTCCTCACGACCTTCGACGATTGTCGTTTGAGTCGCCTGAGCGGGTACTGGCTTCCGGGCGGTCCGGATGTTCCCGATGAACCAGGTTACTATTGGAACGAACCGCAGCAACTTCACCTCTTCTTCCGTACACAAGAGAGCATGTGGGTGATAAGCCACACCCAGCAGCGATTAGTTCCCTTCGCAACGTCGCTGGACCTGGAGCACTGGAACGTGGACATTGGCACTGTGATTGCACCTACACACAAGCTGCCGATAAGGCAGCCAAGGATGATAAAAGGAGTTGAGTGTGCTAAAGGCGTCGCTTTGTATATCTTTACTTTCCAGCGACAGCTCAAAGACCTTTCCGGATGTTACCAATACTTCGGCAAGTACAACAAGGCCCCTTGCTTCAAGCGCTGGCAGAAGCCTCAGCACTTCCTGATGAAGTCCGGCGAAGGACTCTGGGTCATCCGAGACAAAGACCGCAAGGAATTGGCCGCAAGCAACAATCTTGTGTATTTTGCAGCCCCAGACAAGAGCCTCGAGAAGGCCAGCCGCAAGGTGGTGGACAAGTGGCGTGAGCCTGCACCGCAGCCTGCTGCCCCTGCATCCTCTTCCGTGCCGAGTGCGCCTGCTTCATCTTCAACACAACCCGCACCGCCTCCGGCCACTTCAAGGACAAAGCCCCGGGTATGCATTGGCTATGACATGGAGGACGTGCGAACATACTTCAACGAGGTGCATAGTCGCGGTCCGCGCCCTCTCCGAGCAAGACCCGACGAGGACTGCGACTTCAAAGTGATCTACGAGGTCTTCAAAAGACAGGTCTACAGGCCCTCTGGTGCCACTAGCCTCTTCATGCCCCGAAGGGGGGACCACTTGCTAGACCTGGGAGGCCATATCGGGTCGGCCACGGCGTGGTATCTGGAGAATGGCATAGCCAGCAGCGATGCTTACGAGCCCACCGGCACCTTCGAGATGCTGCAGGAGAACCTCGGCCAGGAATCACGAGTACAGCTGCACAAAAAAGCAGTCGTCCACGAGACATGCTCGTCGGAGACGGGCGGCCGCAGGATCAAAGCAAACGCGGCTTTTGTGGACGAATGGAGCGATTCCGTCGTCGTTCATGTCGCCGATGGACACTTGTACTTGAAAGAGGTTGGGGGCTACCAAACCCTCGCGATGGCCACTTCCTTCCGGCTTGTCCCTCTTGGGTCCAAGCTCGTTTTGGACAAGGGCAAGAAAGCCACGACCTTGCAGGCGCGCGCGGAGGCGATCAGGGCAAAGCTGCCAGGGGTTCTTGAGTTTCTGGGACTGCACTTGGAAGGGAGTATTGAGATTTTGCGGAGGCGATGTTGCAGCAGGGGTGCTTCATTTCGGGGTTAGCTGGGTTGGCTAGTGAGCACGTGTGTGGCCGACTTCCCAGCTGGTGATCAGAGGGAGAGTGAGTGAATGAGTGAGTGAGTGAGTGTGAGTGAGTGAGTGAGTTTGTGCGTGAGTGAGCGAGTGAGTGAGTTAGTGAGTGGCAAGTGAGTGAGTGTGTGAGTCTTTGCGTTGTTGAGTGATTGAGTGATTGCGCGACTGAATGGGTGAGTTAGTTCGTGAGCGAGCGAGTGAGTGCTTGAGTGAGTACATGGGGTGAGTGAGTGAGCGAGTGATTCCCTTCGGAATTGCGGGAGTGAGTGAGTGCATGGGTGCGTGGTTGCGTGGTTGCGTGAGATCGTGAGTGCGCGAGTGCGCGAGTGAGTGAACGAGTGAGTGAGTGCATGAGTGAGCGAGCGAGCGAGTGCGTGAGTGAGTAAATGGAGGGAGGGAGTGAGCAAGTGCGTGAGTGCGGGAGGCGTGAGTGAGTGAGGGTGTGAGTGCTTGAGTGCGTGAGTGGAAGAGTGAGTGAGTGGAAGAGTGAGTGAGTGAGTGAGTGAGTGAGTGAGTGAGTGAGTTGGTGAATGACTGGTGTGTGAGTGATGGAGTTGTCGAGAGATTGAGTGATTGCGTCTCTGATTGGGTGAGTGAGTGAGTTAGTTCGTGAGCGAGCGAGCGAGTGCTTGAGTGAGTACATGGCGTGAGTGAGTGAGTGAGTGAGTGAGTGAGTGAGTGAGTGGGTGAGTGAATGAGCGATTGAGTGAGTGCGGGAGTGCGCGAGTGAGTGAGTGCGGAAGTAAGCGAATGAGTGAGTGAGTGAGTCAGCGTGTGAGCGAGCGAGTGAGTGAGAATGAGCGAGTGAGTGAGTGTGGGAGTGCGGGAGTCAGTGAGTGCGTGAGTGCGCGGGTGCGTACGTGCGAGTGAGCGAGCGAGTGAGTGAGTCAGTGAGTGAGTGAGTGAGTTCTTGCGTGAATCAGTGAGCGAGCAAGCGAGTGCGTGAGTGAGTAAATTGAGGGAGAGAGTGAGCGAGTGAGTGAATGCGGGAGGCGTGAGTGAGTGAGGGTGTGAGTGCTTGAGTGCGTGAGTGGAAGAGTGAGCGAGTGGAAGAGTGAGTGAGTTTTTGAGTGAGTGAGTGAGTGAGTGGGTGAATGACTGGTGTGTCAGTCATGGACTTGTTGAGTGATTGAGTGATTGCGTCTCTGATTGGATGAGTAAGTGAGTTAGTTCGTCAGCGAGCGAGTGAGTGCTTGAGTGAGTACAGGGCGTGAGTGAGTGAGTGAGTGAGTGAGTGAGTGAGTGAGTGAATGAGCGATTGCGTGAGTGCGGGAGTGCGCGAGTGAGTGAGTGCGGAAGGAAGTGAATGAGTGAGTGAGTGAGTGAGTGCGTGAGTGAGTGAGTGAGTGAGTGAGTGAGTGTGAGTGCATGAGTGCGTGAGTGCGTGAGTGCGTG